AATATTTAAAGTTATTAATGAAAGATGGGTATTGAATCCTGTCATTTTTATTTCTGTTCACATTCTTGATATAGCTGTACTTTTCCATGGTTATACCCTCATTGAATTTCTTTCCGCAGCCCCTTGGGTATAGTTGTTCCTTTCTTCAGCTCTTTTCTGAATTCATTTAGAAGTTTATCAATATCTTCCTTCAGTTCTTTGATTTCTTTGCGTGTTCTTTAAATTCACTGAATTCTTTTATCATGTTTATAATTGTTCTTTTGAGTTCCATGTCCTGCATTATCAGTTCTCATTGTATTCCTCTCGAGGTCTATTGGTATTTAGTAGGGATATATTATTTTGGTTTTTCACGTTATTTTTTTCTCTGTGATTTTGACATGTGAATTTCTTTTGTAGTTTCTGATTCTTGTGTGACACTCGGGCCTTCAAGTTTGGTTCTGCTTCTTTTTTTGAGCTTTATGTGTCTTTGTGGCTTACTTTTTGGGCATGAAAAGCTGGTTCCTCTAAGCTTCCGCTTCTCTCCTTTGATTTTATATTGGAGTGGCCAGATTGATTTTGTCTTCAGGAGTTCCGCAGTGGGCCCAATTCAGATGATGGTCATATGACTTCAGGCTTTCTCCTAAGGTCTGGATCCCTCCAGGACCGATTTTGGCCTTGGGAATTTGGGGGTTGGACTGGCCTGGGAGCCTGGCCCAGGAAAGATGCTGGTCTAGGGCAGCTGGTGGCTGTGCCACCCAGAGATGCAAAGGGAAATGGGGGCGGGAAGAGGCCCCAAGGACTCCTGGGGAGTGTACTGAGGAACTGGGTTGGTCTGGATGCAAAGGATCAGGAAGAGGAAAGGTCAGCCCCAGCGTCCAGGGTGGCCGGTGGTGCAGCCCAGGGAAATAGAGGTAGGTGTGGGTGGGACCAGGCCCTGAGGGCTCCTGGGAGAGAGGCTGGTGGGTCATGCAACCCAGGGAAGCAGAGGGAGTTGAGGGCGGGGCCAGGCCCAGAAGGCTCCTGGGGACCCAAGAAGGAACTCGGTTGGTCTGAATGCAAAGTATCAGGAAGCAGTGGTGATTCCCTGGGTGTCTGGGGCGCCAAGACAAGGAATGGGATAGGACCCAGGCTAGGAGGAGAGATGGGCGGGGGAGATGGGAGGATGAATGAGGCTCGGGGAGTTAAGGTGGGGGTGTTACTCCCGAGATCCGGAGAAGCCTGTGGGTTGGAGAGAGGCCTGCAGGTCTGGGAACCAGAGGGAGGCCAGGAATCCATGTTTTAAAAAAACTATTGCTTTATCAGTCTTTTCTTTTTTCTTTTTTTTTTTTCGGTCTTTTTGAGACAAGATCTCCCTATAGCCCCAGCTGGTCTGGAACTCACTATGTAGACCAGGCTGGTCTTGAACTCACAGAGATCCACCTCGCCTCTGCCTCCCAAATGCTGAGATTAAACACATGTGCCAGCATGCCCGGCCCAACTTTTCCAGTCTTTTTATTTTTTTTTTAATTTATTTTTTTGGTCTTTTTGATACAGGGTCTCCCTATAGCTATCCTGGAACTCACTGTGAAGACCAGGCTGGCCTTGAACTCAGAGATCCACCTGCCTCTGCCTCCCAAATGCTGGGATTAAAGGCCTGCACCACCATACCCAGCCCAACTTTACCAGTTTTTAAAAAACATTATTTTTGGTTCACTTGTTTTTATGTGTGTGAATGTTTTGCCTGCATATATGTAAGTACACCCATTTTGTGTAATGCCCACAGAGGCCAGAAGAGGATGTTAGATCCACTGCAACTGGAGTTACCTATGGTTGTTGGCCACCATGTGTTACTGGGAACCAAATCCAGGTCCTCTGCAAAAGCAGCCAGTGCTCTTAACTGCTCAGCCATCTTCCCAGACCTTCCTTTGCCTGTCTTTGTGTGTGGCTTTGGCCTCATAATCTAAGATGGTTGCCCAAGTTCCATCTTTCAGGTCCATCATTCATTCTAATAGGAGGAGACAGTAAGGAATGGCATGACTTTTATTTTATTTTATTTTTTGCAGTGCTAGGGATCAAACCCAGGCTTAGTGCATGCTAGGCAAGTGTTCTAACACTGGTCTACATCCTCTGCCAGCAAGACTTTAAAAATAATGTCAGTTCCTACACGTTGTGTGTATATATTGTACCCATATTCCATTTCTGGAATTAGAGAAATATCATTACCAGATTTTAGACATGGCCACATTTGGCTGCAAGGACAGCTGGCACATATAGTGTTTATTTTCATTGGCTTTGTGTTCAGCTAAAACCAGAGTTTGTATTTCTCTCTCTTCCTCCCTCTCTTCTTTCTGTAGTGTTGGGAATTGAACCCAGTGTCTCCCATACTCCCAACCCCTTAAATTCTTTATTTCTGGAGCAGACCATGGATCCACAGGAAAGAGTGTCAGTAGAGGGAAGTCCTATGCTGTCTGGGGATCTGATTCCAAATGCTTCCACTCTGCAGTGCCATTTGTGTGACAAGACATTCATGAATGCCACCTTCCTCCGGGGTCACATCCAGCGCCGGCATGCAGGCATGGCAGAAGGCGGTGAGTCCAGGCAGCAGCTGGGACCTGCTGGGCTGGGGCACATACACATCCAAACCTACCCTTAGAGCCCCTGCATCCAGTTGAGCTTTGGGTGACTCTGGCACTGACTGTGGGGTCCCACATGGCGCTGGATGGGTTACAGCCTTGTCTGTGTAGAGAACAAAAGGAGTCAGTAGGAAGGTTTAATCTTAACTTTGTCCCTTTCTATGACAAAGTGTAGTCAGCACTTCCCCTCTGACTTTCTGTACCCTTTACTGTGAGTGGAGCAGGCAGACATAGACTCTGAAGGGCCTCTGGCCTGCCTCATCTGTAGCTCTCAGAGGCTGGCTGTGAGTGTAAATGGGGCAGATGAGTAGTCAGATCAGTTCTTTGGCTGTTCTCTGTGCTGAAGTGTATCACTTTAATCTGACTTAATCACTTTATTTAATTTTGCCATTTTAAATTCCAAAATGAATAGGAAGGCTGTGTGTTGTCATTATGAAACTATAGGTACTTTTTGAGGTTAACAGAATTGGCTGTACAATAAAATAAATAAAAACACATAGCTATAAAAACTTCATTAAGGAGAACATTTTTATTTTCCATCATTCTAATCCCCTTTTCAAAAAAAATATTTTTAGAATTGAGAATGTAGCTCAGTGATACAGGGCTTGCCTGGCATGCATGAAGCCCCAAGTCAATCCCCAGTACCATGGTGGGTTAGGAGAGTTTAAAGCAGTATCCTTGAGCTGTGAAGTTATTATACATCTAAATCATGCTAGGTCTTTATTGGAGACTGTTAAGGAAAAGCGGTCTTTCTAGGTCTTTAATACTTATTTTCTTGTAAAAAAACCCATCACGTTTTGATATGGAAACTTAAATACAAGCACACAGGAAAAGGAAAAGGAGTGGTATCACCAGCAATTAGTATTTTGATGTATTCTTAGTTTTTTCTGCATACACATGTAGTCATATGATATGCAATTTTGACTATTGCTTATTTTAACTTTAAGAGTATATCACAACTGTCATTAAGTTTTGTTTTTTCTTTTGAGTCATAGCCTCATGTAGCCCAGGCTGGTCTTGAACTTGCTATGTAGCCAAGGCTGGTCTTGAACTCCTGATCTTCTTGCCTCCACTTCCTGGTACTGGCATTATGGTTCTGTGCTACCATGCCAGGCTTATGCAGTGATGGGGATCCAAAAGAGGGCTTTGTGCTTCTTAGGCAGGCAGTCCACCAGCCCTAAGTCATCCTTTTTTTTTGAGACTGGGTCTCCCTGTAGCCCCAGCTGGCCTGGAACTGGCTAGTTTCGACTCCCACAGATCTGCCTGTCTCCACCTCCTGAGTGCTGAGACTGAAGGTGTGTACCACCATCCTGGTGTACTCACGACTTCTTATTTGGAGGTTGTCCAAAGCCCAGGCCTTTGATTTTATACTACCTGGGATCACTATATTAAACCCAAAGAATTCTCCTCTATCCCAGAATTGCTTGCTTTGCTTGCCTGATCACACAGGCCTGTAAGTCCAGACACTTGAGAAGCTAAAGCAGGGGGATCGAAGGTTCAAGGCCAGCCTGGCAACTTCATGAGACCCTGTCTCAAATTAAAAAGTGAAAAAGAGGCTGGGGACGGAGCTCTGGTAGGGTGCTTGCCTAGTATGCACAATACCCTGGGTTCAAGTCCTCATACTGAAAAAATTTTGCCTCATACTGAAAAAAAATTGCTTGTTTCTAAAAAGGCTCTAGACTGAGAGAAAACATGTCTTTTAAAAGAATAGGTTGATTTTAATAACAGTATTCAGTATTATTTGTCTAGTCACTAAATGTACTTATATTTTATTCTCTTTCTAATACTCCAATGATTTTGCATCTCCATCTGTCAGTACTGTTAAAATGCTTTAAAGGACGGTACAGTAATTCACATTTATGGAACTGTCACTCTGGGCACTGTGCTAAGCATTTTGTGTTGTCACATTTCATCCTCACACCCCCCTTGCCTTGCTGAGTGCTGCTGTTATTATTGCTTTGCAGTTTGGAGAAACAGGGACAGGGAGGCAGGAGAGATGCTTTTCCCCAGCCCAGTGAACTATGTGGCAAAGCTCATCTCAGACCGAGGTGTGAGTGCGGAGGGAGAAATTCTACTGTGGCCTTTTGCTCTTTCTTTCTGTGAAACCCTAGGAAAACCGAAGCAGGAACAGCCCTTGGAGGAGGTGTTGGAGGACCTGCAGGCCAAGCTAAAGTGGACCCAAGGGGAGCTGGAAGCCCAGAGGGAGGCTGAGAGGCAGCGGCAGCTCCAGGTGAGCCTGCAGTGGAAACGTCAGGGAGGCTCAGGTCATGGGCTTTAGGGATGTTGCGCAAGCATCTCACAGAGCCAGAATTCCCCACTGGTTTCCCAGAGTCATAGTCAGAGCTAGGAGGTCACCTTCTCAGGTGTGATAAACGATTATGGGCTTTCTGAAAAGAACAATCAAATTATTTTACTAGACCCATGTGGTCAAAAATGGAGCAGAGCCTTGTGGTCTTCTGCTTTAGCACATGCTGGAAGCATTTGAATTTGAATATAACATTTTACACTGTACTATTAGTTGGGTTTCTGAGGACAAAGATGGGGTCTCCTTTCCAGGCTAGAGGAGGTGCTCCACAAATATTTGCACATTCGAAACACTCACCTTCCTGTTCCTTCATATATTCATTCATCATTGGTTGTGGTAGCATAGTTACTGAATACTGACTGTTCCAGGCATTGTGAGATGTCTTTATCCCCAAGGGAATTTACAATTTAGATAAGACTGTCTAGCAATGGACCATTCCAGGTCCAAAGCAGAGGGGCGGAGGGTGGTGTGCTCTTTGGCCCTCTTAGTGTTGTGCATGTTTGGGAGGTGCTAAGCTTAGCGGGTCTACCCCAAATATTTGCTGTAATGTGGAATTAATGATTATATTGTTCTTATTTTTCTTTTGCTAGGAAGTGGAGATCACTCGTCAGAGGGAAATAGAAGCTAAGAAAAAATTTGACGAATGGAAAGAAAAGGAACAGAGCAAGCTTTATGGGGAAATAGACAAGTTAAAACAGTTATTTTGGGATGAATTTAAAACCGTTGCCAACCAGAATTCTACACTAGAAGAGGTACCCAGCACAAAAAGCTTTCCAGAGCTGTTTTGGTGAAAACAGCTTTAATTATGCTCGAACATTAACTTCTTGTGTGTGTGTGTGTGTGTGTGTGTGTGTGTGTGTTTGTGTGTGTGTGTGTGTTTGTGTGTGTTTGTGTGTGTGTGTGTGTTTGTGTGTGTGTGTGTGTTTGTGTGTGTGTGTGTGTGTGTGTGTGTTTGTGTGTGGGTGTGTGTGCAGGTGTGCTTGCCCATGGACAAGAATGTGGAGGCCAGAGGGGACATCAGATACCTTCCTTTACCACCAATCTCCAGTTTAGCTTTTTTTTTAAAGATTTATTGTGGTGTGTCTGTGTGTGTCTGTGTGTATGTGTGCATGTATGTGGGTGCCTGTGGAGGCCAGAAGAAGGTGTCAGATCCCCTGGAGCTGGAGTTATAGGCTGTTGTGAGCTGCTCAGTCTGGGTGCTGGGAGCTGAACTTGGGTTCTCTGGAAGAGCAGCAAGTGTGCTTAACTGCTGAGTCATCTCCGCACCTTAGTTTTCTTTTTTTCTATCTTAGTTTTTGAGACAGGATCTCTCACTGAACCTGGAGCTCCTGTTTTTACTAGACTGACTGGCCAGTGAGCCCTTTGGATCAGCCTGGCTCCACCTTCCTCCCCTGGGTTTACAGATGTGCACCTGACTTTTTTGTGGGCACTAGGGATCTGAACTTAGATCCTGATGGTTGCGCACCAAGCACTTTACCCACCGAGCCCTCGTCCCAGCCCCACAAAATTCTTTGTTTACCCTGCACTTGTATTAACTTCATCTGTTGCCGGGGGCTGATATAAGTATGAAGTTGGATGTCAGAGACCAGTGCCCCGGGGAAACCACATAGCTCTGTCATGTACTTGCCATGTGACTTTGGATGAGTTATCGTACCTTCCGGTGCCTTAGTTTCTTTTTGTATAAGATAGACTAGCAAAAGGTTTAAATTAACACATATGTACTCCTTGGCATTATCTGGCATGTAATATGAATTTCCTAGAAGATTGACCTTATTTTGCAAAGAGTTTTTATTACTGGACAAGAAATGAGGTAGAATTTAAATGAGTGCATTTTTCTCTTGACATATTCTGTGTATGCTGGCTCTATGTTAGACAACCGTGGGGTCTGTGGGGTCTGTGGGGTCTGTGGCAGTTACATGAAGAAATTAAACACCACTGACTTAACACAATACTGACTGTGCTTACTCTTTTCCCGCCTCTAAGCGGAACTTTATTTATTTATTTAGCCAGGATCTTTTGTCTGGCTGGCCTGGAACATGCTATATAGACCAGGCTGGACTGAAACTAAAATAGTAATCTTCCTGCTTGTACCTCCGGAATGCTTAGATGTATGAACCATTACCCAGCTACATTAACACAAAAACAGCCAAAGTAGTCTTGAAGTACAATTAATTTGTTAATTTCTTTTTAAAGTTCCTTTTAAATTTTTTACATTTTAAAAATAAAACGTTGTTTTTGAGAGAGAGTTTTACCATGTAGCTAAGACTGGACTCAAACTCATTATGGAGCCCAGGCTGGCCTCAAACTTTCAGTCATCCTGCCTCGGTTTCCTGGGCGTTGGGATTACAAGGCTTCTATCACTTTGCCTGCCTAAGTTCCATTTAAAAAACTTTCTGTGTGAGTGTTTTTTTTTTTTTAAATACATATTACATTGTACTTGAAAATGGGTGAAGAAATCAAGACCACATAACTTGTTAAAATTCATACAGCAAGAATTGGAGGTGGGACTTGAACTTGACTTTTTAAATTCCAAAGTCCTGTTTTTCTACTGGATATTCTCTTTAACTGTCATTGTTAAATCAGGAAGACCTTTGAAAGGCTATCGCTGAACCATATCTTCCCATATAAGTGTGTACAGAAAATATTTAAAAAATATATTTATCTCTCATTGGTCCTCCTCATACCAAGAGAATGCTGTTTTTGCAAATGAACTGTCAAGAGTATTTTTCATAACCATTTCCATGTTTTTCCTATGGAGCTTGTCACAGTTATGTGTAGAATCTGAGATGGAAAGGTTCAGATAGAAGGTGGTAGAGTTGGAATGAAAGCTGTCTGTATGGTGTGTATATGTGGGAGTATTACCTAAAATTAGCAGTGTTCCCCCACTGGATCAAGGCTGATTTGTGGAAGGTAAGCTGCTGCCTTCTGGTGTGGCCCTCTGCTCCTTCACCCCTCTGTACCCATCATTTCCAACCTTCTCAAAATGCCCTTGATTTCACATTCCCCAACATGTCACCTGCTGAGTAGGCATTTGGTAAATAAGTATTGATTTGAATTGGAAGTCATTGTTTAGAAACCGCCATGTTTCCTTTCTGACTCAGATCACATTCTCCTTAAACCGAAATATCCTATGATTTTTTTGTCTCCCTATAAGAATATTCATGTTGTGTTTTTATGTCTCCTGCTTCTCTCAACATTTTATTATTTTACTTTCATTAAAGTATAGGAACCAAATTGGACACAAGATTCTTAGTATAGTTAGATAGGTATTTTGTCAATTGAAAAAAAAAAAACTAGTGGAAAACCAGGTAGGATTTCATTTAGAATGACAGAAAAACGCTGTAAGATGGTCAGTCTTTGAAATTCTAGAAATATTCTTCTGATGTTGGAGGGCCACTGAGAGCTAAGTGCATTTTAAAGTATTTCTTAGAACTTCCCTGGTGCAGAAATCTGAGCACTTACTTTGAGTTACCTGACAGCAGAGAGAACGTTGGGTTGCGTGGGGTAAACCCAAGTGCCAGAGGACGCTGCAATGGAAAGGCACCGGCCATGGAGCTTTGTAGTGCAAAGAATCAGCGGTGTGGCATGCCATAGCGATGATGTAGAAGCCAGAGGTGACACATCAGAATCTCCCCAGTCATGCATGCATCTGGTATAGCATTTGTCAACAAAAATTCAGGTTGGGGAACGATTAACATTTGGTCCCACTATTGCTTAAGCAGTGACTGAGAAGAGTCAGCAAAGACAATACCAAGCTTGCAGCTTCGTAAAGCTGTAGCGAGGCTTGTAGATTTTTGTGTAGGGATAGAGATGGGTGTGTGCTGCTTTGTTAGTGAGACCCAGGTAGGTCTGCGTTTGATTTAATTTTGTGTGCTTTTTTTCTTCTGGTCACAGTCATATCTCAAGAACTGCCAGGTATTAGTGACATGGCTCTGAATGCTGTGAAAATCCAGCTTTCTGATGAGAGCTGGTGTGTGTGTGTGTGTGTGTGTGTGTGTGTGTGTGTGTCAGAGGCAGGAGTCTTCATCTTCAGGGTGTGGCTGGGGAAGCTAAGGATCCTCATGTGGGCTCCAGGTATGCTCTCTTGAGCTTACTCCAGGCCTAGAAAGAAACAGGGCAGCAGTTGGGCAATTTCAGGGTTTGGGGACAGCAGAATTGAAGTAACACCTGAGTTTGTCCTTCCCTGGATACTTACTTCTACTATGCACGGGCTAAGCCTCAGGAGAACCTTAGTGAGGGGGCTGCCAATTTGTGTGGCTGTTTGTAGGCGTATCTGTACTTAGTGAGGGCAAACTGGAGGCTCTTGGTTGGGGAGAGTGGTACGTACCCCTTTGACCCTGTATCGGGATAAGGTATAAAGTCAGTATCCAATCTAGGTCTTTAGTTTATCAAATGGTGGGGGACTTTTTCAGAAGCTGAAGGTGCTGCAATCCCACAGTGTGACTGAGTCCCACCTTGGAACGCTGCGGGATGAAGAGTCAGAGGAGCGACTCAAGCAGGCACAGGAGCTCCAGGCCCTGCGAGAGAAGATGGAGGTTCAGGTGAGCCAACCCTCCAGGCCCTTCTTTCGAGAGTAAACTGAGAATCTTGCTTATCCCCCCTAAGAGCTCTCGTTTCTGCTTTGAGGATTTGGGGAAGGTGAGAGACAACAAAGCCATATATTTCCAGGCCTTGTGCCAGTGTGTAAACATAGAATATGGTTCTCAGGCAAGCTGGTGATATGTGTATAATAATCAGATTTGACCAATATGTACAAATATATACAAAGTATATTCAAGCACAATGCAGGGTTTCCAAACATGTAGGCACATACATGGTTTTCTTTTTTGTATTTTAGGTTTTTGAGACAGTGTCTCACTCTGTGGCATGACTGGCCTAGAACTGTCTATGTAGACCAGGCTAGTCTTGAACTCACAGAAATCTACCTGCCTCTGCCTCCTGGGTGTTGGGACTAAAGGTGTCACCATGACCAGCTAAATTTTTTTTTTTTTTTTTTTTTTTTTTTGAGACAGGGTCTTCCTGTTGCCTCAGCTGGCCTGGAACTCATTATGTAGACCAGGCTGGCCTTAATCTCACAGAAATCTGCCTGCCTCTGCCTCCTGAGTGCTGGAATTAAATGCATGCACCACCACACCTGTCTATAACTTTTTTTGATTTGTTTTTATTTTATGTGTAAGACTGTTTGCCTGCATGTATGTAAGTGCACTGTATGTGTGCTGAGAACTGAAATTGGGTTCTCTGCAAGGGTAGCCAGTGCTCTTAACCACTGAGCTGTCTCTCCAGCCTGGGTTTCGTTTTTGACATCTTTATCTCCCATTTTATTCTAACCCAGATGAAAATAATCCAGAAAATGTGACAGTGTCCAGAATTTGAAAATATTTGGGATAAATATGTAGTGTGATGGTAAAAAGTTTTTCTGGAGGTAAACCCATTTGCCAGTTTCTGTGGTATGCAGACTCCTCTCATACCCTCAGTGTGAGGTCTCTGAATAGAGCTGAGAAAAACTGTATCCAGTCTGCTCTGGCTACCACTGAGTGAACCTTACTGAATCCAGGCACAGGAGGTCCATAGTACTGATAACCTCACAACAAGGAGGGTAGTGAGCACAGCCCCTCAAGCATGAGCCTCTGTGTCTACACTCCATGGTGGTTGAGAAAGAGCTTGAAGTCTGGTTGGATGGTTCACAAATCTCTGATCATAAAAAAGTCATTGTTGTGGGGCTAGGGAGATGGCTTCATACACAAGTATGATGACTTGAGTATAGACCCCCAGCACCCATGTAAAAGCTGGGAACAATATGGATCTGTAACCCCAAAATTGGGAATGGAGATAGCTCCAGATGGCTGGAGCTCATTGGCCAGCCAGCCTAGCCAACTGGTATACTCCAGGCTCAGGGAGAAGACCCTGTCAAAAAATAAGATGGAGAGCTGCTGAGGAAAACTCAACCTCTGGCCTCCTGTGCATGTATACTTATAAGAACACAAGTATGCATAACACACACACACACACACACACACACACACACACACACACACACACACACACGCACACACAAAGTCATTCTTTTCCTACAAACTTGAACTCTCTTCATATGCATTACTTTTTTTTTCCTGCTCTCCTTCTCTTCTTTTTTCACTTTTTGAGACAGGTTCTCAAGTAGCCCAGGTTGGCCTCCAACTTGCTTTGTGCCTAAGGATGACCTTGACCTCAAACTTCTGATCCTCCTGCCTCTACCCCTCAAATGCTGGAATGTTAGACATGAGCTACCCCCCGTGCTGGTCTTTTCGCTTTTATTTCTGTTATTGCAATTTTCTTTACACTTTTGTGAGTTTGTATAATGTGAGTAAATAAACCTAACCCTTTGTTTTTCTCTTTGTGGCTATTTTCCTGTTTTCTATTGGTCTTTCAACTTCATTTTATTGTGGTTTGGTCATAAAAAGAGTAATGTTTCTGTGATATAAGTCATCAAAGTATTAGCATTTTCTTTTTTACTTAAAATATTTTATTTATTATTCTTATTTTATGTGTATGAGTGTTATGCCTGTGCTGTGCAATGCCAGCAGAGGACAGAAGAGGCTGTAGGATCCCCTGGAACTGGAGTTACGGACAGTTGTTAGCTGCCATGTGGGTGCTGGGATTTGAACCTGGGTTTTCTGCAAGAACAGCCAGTGTTCTTAACTGCTGAGCTATGTCTCCGGCCCCCTCAGCATTTTCTTTTTAAAAAATTTTAGTTATATGTCTGTATGTGTGTATGTGCACATGTTGTGTGTGTATACACAGGGGCCAGAAGAGGGTGTTGTCCCTGGGACAACAGGTGGTTGTTAGCCAACTGATATAAATTCTAAAGTTCAAAGTCCAGTCCTCTGTAAGAGCAGCAAGCTCTCTTAAGTGCTGAAGCCATCTCTCCAACCCTGCTGTCTTGTCTTTACTATACTCATGCTGAGATTTAAAAAGAATATTCCTGTGTTTTCTTTTAGTACTTTTATGGCCTTAATTCTGATGTGTAATTCTCTGACATGCCTACAGTTTATTGATTTAACATATAAAATAAGCGTTCAAGTTCATATTTTTTCTGGTCAGTTAGCCATTTGTTCAAATACCATTAGTCAGTAATCCATTTTCCCATTCCCTTGGCAACCAAGTTTCCATTTCACTTCAAATTCATTCAGGCTTTCTATTCTGTTCCGCTAATCTTACAGCCTAACCGTGAGCCAGAACCTTTTCATTTCCATTGTTTTATGATATATATTAGTATCTAGAGGCCTCCACTTAACGAGCTTTAAAAACTTATTGATTTATATTTATTTTATGTGCATGAGTGTTTTGACTGCATGCATATCAATTTTCCACATGTGCTCAATGCCCACGGAAGCCAGAAGAAGGCCTTGGATCCCCTGGAACTGGAGTTACAGATAGTTGTTAGCTGCCTTATGGCTGCTGGAACTCAGCCTAGGTCCTCTGCAAGAGCAGCCAATGCTCTTAACTGCTGAGCCATCTCCACCCCCCACCCCCCACTTAAAAAGCTTTTAATCTTTTTCAGAAGACAGAGTGGAAGAGAAAAATGAAGGAACTGCAGGCAGAGTGGGCAGCTGAGAGGAGAGAGGTAGCTCTTGTGCAGTGGTGAGAAAGCCTGGTTTCCCGTGACCTCTCCCAATTCATTATTCCCCCTCCACCTTCCATTTCCTGCCAAGAACTGGTTTGCAGACATTTTATTACTGGTATTGTTCCTAGTTGCTGATATCCATTAATACACAGATGGAGTCACTTGCCTACCTAAGAGAAGCTGCCCCAGGCCATCTTCTGAACCCCATGCATCCTGTACTACATTGTACCTGCTTTGGGACCTCTTGGGCTTTAAGCCTCACATGAGCCACTCAGTCATGTCACATGTGGGCTCTTCTTTAAAACCCCATCCTGGGGACCAGGTGGCTCAAACGTCAGACATTGCAGAGGGAGTCTACTGAAGGGCTCAGATACTGAGCCCAGTGAGCAGGGAGCAACAGCCCTCCAGATAAAGAAAACTAGTGCTGTACAGATGCTCCTGAGCAGGAGCCAAGTTGAGGAAGAAGCTAGTTAACAAGGGCCCTAGGTCTTGTCGGCCCAAAGTCTGGAAGATGCCATTGCTTGCGTCAGAGCCTGGCCCGTGGTTGTTGCTTCCTCCCACTGCAGTATAGGGATACACAGTCTCCATTGGAATGGTTTTATTTAATTTGAAACATTTTCTTTTAAAATATTTATTATTTTTATTTTTGTGTGTATGAGTGTATTGCCTACATGTTATGTGCGTGCATCTGTGTCATGCAATGCCGTGGAGGTCAGAAGAGGGCTTCGGATTCCACTGGAACTAGAGTTAATGATGATTTGTAGCCACCATGTGGGTGCTGGGAATCGAACCTGGGTCCTCTGCAAGAGCAGTCAGTGCTCTTAACCGCTCAGCCATCTCTCCAGCCCCATTAATTTGAAACATTTTCAAATGGAAAATACATTCAAATTTTTTCCATAAGTAGAAGAACTATAATAAGGATAAAGTCCTTCCTACCTGTCTCCCCGCCCCCACCTGTCTCCAACACCCAAGCATAGAGAGTGACTTGTAGTGTATTCTTCTATAGTTTCTCTATGCAAATATGAACAAAGTCTCATTTTACCTCTGCTTTTACACTAGGAGTGCATGCTAACACCTTTTCTTTACTTCTTGTTTTTAATGGAGTGCATTTAATAATTTTTGAGTGGTCTTATTTTCACGTGCATGTCCTTCAGTGGGTGACCGTCTGACAGAGTTGCTTTCTTTCCTCATCTTAGAGGCCTGTGTTCCATTTTTTTCTTCTCAGGCACAGCTCAGAAAATGTGCCTGAACTCAAAAGCAGCTAGTATTGTTAGAAAGTCACCTGCCCAGTCTAGAAATCCTGTACCTGGCCTCAGGGTAGACACACCATCTGCATCTGTCCATAGGGACAGGCCCTTCATGCTAGGGGCACTGGGGTCCTTGCAGACACCTGACTTACCAACCCTCCTGTGCCCACCAGCTACAGGAAAAGAATGAGAGGCTACATGCCTCCCTGTCTCAGGATCAGAAGAAAGCAGCTGCTCAGTCTCAGCGCCATATCAGTGTCCTCCGTGCCCAATTGCAGGAACAAGCCAGACTCATCGCTTCCCGGGAGGAGATGGTAGGTTTGTCCTCTTAGCCAGGGTCCTCAGTCACCAGGCCTCTTCTGTGAAGATAGCTTTGGATTCTTCTGGGTTCATTCTTTTGATGTCCCGAAGGGGACGGAAGAGGCCTCTGACCTGAGGGGCACAAAGTTATGAGGCTGCAGCCACCTCCCTCTCTAGGATGCAGCAGTACTTCCTCCATGGGGGCTGCAACAAACCACTCACTCTATCACCAGAGACCACCATAGTTGTTGGGTCCTAGGCTGACACTATGCTACAAGAGCAGTCAGTGCTCTTAACCGCTCAGCCATCTCTCCAGCCCCATTAATTTGAAACATTTTCAAATGGAAAATACATTCAAATTTTTTCCATAAGTAGAAGAACTATAATAAGGATAAAGTCCTTCCTACCTGTCTCCCCGCCCCCACCTGTCTCCAACACCCAAGCATAGAGAGTGACTTGTAGTGTATTCTTCTATAGTTTCTCTATGCAAATATGAACAAAGTCTCATTTTACCTCTGCTTTTACACTAGGAGTGCATGCTAACACCTTTTCTTTACTTCTTGTTTTTAATGGAGTGCATTTAATAATTTTTGAGTGGTCTTATTTTCACGTGCATGTCCTTCAGTGGGTGACCGTCTGACAGAGTTGCTTTCTTTCCTCATCTTAGAGGCCTGTGTTCCATTTTTTTCTTCTCAGGCACAGCTCAGAAAATGTGCCTGAACTCAAAAGCAGCTAGTATTGTTAGAAAGTCACCTGCCCAGTCTAGAAATCCTGTACCTGGCCTCAGGGTAGACACACCATCTGCATCTGTCCATAGGGACAGGCCCTTCATGCTAGGGGCACTGGGGTCCTTGCAGACACCTGACTTACCAACCCTCCTGTGCCCACCAGCTACAGGAAAAGAATGAGAGGCTACATGCCTCCCTGTCTCAGGATCAGAAGAAAGCAGCTGCTCAGTCTCAGCGCCATATCAGTGTCCTCCGTGCCCAATTGCAGGAACAAGCCAGACTCATCGCTTCCCGGGAGGAGATGGTAGGTTTGTCCTCTTAGCCAGGGTCCTCAGTCACCAGGCCTCTTCTGTGAAGATAGCTTTGGATTCTTCTGGGTTCATTCTTTTGATGTCCCGAAGGGGACGGAAGAGGCCTCTGACCTGAGGGGCACAAAGTTATGAGGCTGCAGCCACCTCCCTCTCTAGGATGCAGCAGTACTTCCTCCATGGGGGCTGCAACAAACCACTCACTCTATCACCAGAGACCACCATAGTTGTTGGGTCCTAGGCTGACACTATGCTAATTATCTAATTTAAATCTCACTACTTCCCTTCAAGGTAGGCCCCACTTTCTCCTCCTCACATTTTTTTTTTTGCTCTTTTTGAGACAGGGTCTCCTGTAGCCTCAACTGGCCTGGAACTCACTACATAGACCAGGCTGGTCTTAAACTCACAGAGATCCACCTGCCTCTGCCTCCCTAGTGCTGGGATTAAAGACGTGCACTATCATGCCCGGCCTCTCCTCATCTTTTTAAAAAATTTTACTTATTTTTATTTTATTTTTTTATATGTTATGAGTGTTTTGCCTGCAAATATGTAAGTACACCATGTGCACGCAATGCCTGGGGAGTCCAGAAGAGGGTGTTGGATGCCTTGGAACTGGAGTTACTGATGGTCATTAACCTCCATGTGGGTGCTGGAAACTGAACCCAGGTCCTCTGCAAGAGCAGCCAGTGCTCTTAACCACTGAGTCAGCTCTCCAGCCTTCCTCACCATTTTTTGATGGATGATCAAACAGAGTTGCTCAAGTCTGCACAGAGTTCTCTCTAAGCGAAGGGTAACATTCAAATCCAGCTAGGCAGGTGAGACACAAAACTTGTGCTCTTTACACTGTGCTCACAGAAGAATTTCTTATCCAACTTCTTTTTTGTAAATGAATAGCTTTTGATGGGGTTGTCCAGTAGGCCTGTGTCATGAAAACTGCTGAGTCACTAAGCAGGCCCTCCTAAAGCTGGGTCTTATAGTTCTTCATCTGTTTTTGGTAATTCTTCCCTGAGCCTGGGCTCAGCTCCCCTCTGTGAACCCTAGGCCTTTGGGAAAGCTGCCCCTTCCCCTTCTGAGTCCCCCTGGGGCTTCAAGTTCCTGTTATGGTTCTGACACCTCTGGCCTCATGGACCAGCTTCCACATAGCCCTTGATGGAGCCACAGCCACAGTCCAGTTCCTTCTCTCTGCCCCTGTGCCCCTTGCTAGTTGTGTTCCTCTGCCTTCCCAGCCACTTTCTGCAGTCACCGTGGCCACCCCTCTTCTGTTGTCCCTGCCAACACTTGCCTCTTCACTGCTGTGGTCACTTCTGGTCCAGTCTGGAGGTGTACCTGCAGAACTCTTGTTTGCACATTTCACTGAGGAACCTATTGCCTCAAGATAACAGAATAAGTAATAGCAGTTTACTTTTATCATAAACCCCACAGAGGTAACAGTTGTTGGCTGTGGTTAGCAGCAAATTTGTGCCACTGGGAATCCAGACTAACTTTATTTTTATTGTGTTGTATTTTCATGTTACACTTTCATAGCTGCCAGAGCCCCAACTATTGCGATCATATTTGATGGGAGAAATGGATAAAAAGACTCCAGTCCCAGGGGATCCAACAGCCTCTTCTGACCTCCGCGGGCATTGCACGACACAGGTGCACTTAACCTACATGCAGGCAATACATGCATACACATAAAATAAAAAAAATAAATAAAATTTTTTAAAAAGTTAAAGGAAAAAAGACTTTTCAAAAGAATTATGTGTGTGTTTGTTTACTCACATGCCCACGTGCATCAAGGCACGCATATGGAGGTCAGAGGACAGTGTGTGGAGTCAGCTCTTCCTTCCATCTTTACATGGTTCCAGGCTTGTACCTCTACCTGCTGAGCCATCATACAGCCCAAGAATTTGATGACACATTGTTGGTCAAAACTGTGTCATAAGAACTGGACGTGGTGGCATATGCCTTTACTTCCAGCACTTGGGAGGCAGAGGCAGGCAGATCTCTGTGAATTGGGGCCAGTCTGGTCTGTGTAGTGAGTTCTAGACCATGGGCAAAGAGCATATATATATATATATATATATATATATTGTTTTTTTTAAATTAAAAAAAGGTTTATTTTATGTGTATTTATGTGTATGCATGTTTTCTCTGCGTCTATGTGCAACATGTGTGTGCCTGGTGCCTATAGATTCCAGAAGAGAGCATGAGATCCCCATGCAACAGATGGTTGTGAGTCTCTTTGTGGGTGCTGGGAACAGAACCCAGGACCTTTGCAAGACAGCAGGTGCTCTTAACTGCTGAGCCATCTCCACCCTGCATAATAGGTTTTATAGTTGCTAGAGTAGAAATGGGTAAGGAGAGACAGCTGGAATGGGTATTGGATGAGTGTATGACACAATGGGTAATAGAACTCAAGCTGAAGTGGAAGAAAGAAAGGGCCACACAAGCAGAGGGCATCTCACAGCTTAAGCCAGAGACTAAATGGTCTGGGAATACAGAAACCAGGACATGGGTGTAGACAAGTGTGGCTCCCAAAAGTTTTTCTTTTACTCTGAAGTCACCTTGTTTTTCAATTAGTTCCATGTGACAAACAAGCATGCAAGCAAACCGAGAAAACTAAAAGAGTAGCTGGCTGCTAACAACTCTTGACCCTTTGCTATGGTCTGAGGTCAAGTGGACCACATTTGGCAGCTCGATCTGCTCCACGTGAAAGAAGAAGGAGACTTGTGTGGAAAGGGGTGCTGAGCAGGGGAGCCAGTGCCCAAATCAAGCCTCCAGGCAGGGATGGTCTCTTCTCCCATGGGCATTCGGCTCAGGTGTCTGCACTGCCGGATGGAGTTTCTACCTTGTCCTGCTCTTTTACATCCAATTTCTCTGTGGTATTGACTGCCCTGCTCTGCACAGTCCTTCTCTGAAGACGTGTGGTCGGTCCCATCCTGAGAAAACTGAGCAGACTGCCATCCTGGGTTGCTGCTGCTCTCCCTTGGTGCCATGTCTTTGCACGTATGGGCAGAGGGAGATGAGATGTGGGTAGGGATGGGTAGTAGGTTCTTCCGTTCTTCTAGTGGGTGGCATGGCAACAGTGGCCATCCTTCCCCATTCTGGGCAGAACTCCTGCTCAGAATGGAATCCTTACAGTGTCCTCTGCTGGCTCTAACCTGCTTGTTTCACCTCTTGCAGATTCAGACTTTGTCTCTCAGGAAGGTGGAGGGTAAGTCTGCAGTGGGTGGTTTATACTAGTCTCAGGGGTTGCCTTGGGCTCTTTTCCTTGTACCCTTCAGTCATTTTATTGGTAAAGGATCAGTGACAACAGTCCATGGGACATGAGGCGTGGCATCACGTTGTCTAAATGGGCAAGGGAGAGGGCTTCTGGGACAGAGGGATTTGTGCCGAAGACTTGCTCTCAGCTGCCAGAAGTTCTTACCTACCTTGCTTTTCTCCAGGTGGTGGGAGGTGGTGGAAGGGTTGAGGGTCTTGGGCATGGTGATTGGTGGAGTTGAGCTCCTAAGTGGGCTTTCTAACTTACCATGTCTATGACATACTATTAATAACAACTGCGTGCCCTGCCAAGTACTTCAGATTCATTGACTCATCACATTATGATTAATGTGGGGTGGGTATTTTATGACCCTGTGTTTTCACATGATGAAAATTAGGCTTAGAGAGGTCCAAGGACTTGATGTCTCTTGCAGAGCTAGTGGGGCTAGAGCTAGAATGTGAACGCTGATCTTCCTGCCACCAGGGTCTGTGGTTGTGACCATTGCTCCATCTGCCCCTGTCTGATAAAGCTGAATGTGTAGAGGGCTTGTCCCCGGGGAACTGCACCTTTCTCCGAGTCAGGGATGGGCTGCAGGGTTCTGGCGCCACTAACTATTTCGGTTCTTCTCAGAAGTAAAAGAAATGCCAAAGGCTGTGGACACAAAGGACATAGAAGAGACCTCTTCTGAGGAAGAGCCAGAGGACGCCCATGATGAGCAGTGGAGGGTGCTGGCATCTCTGAGGCAAAATAGTACCTGGCTGAAGCAGTTCCGGCCCTCTCTGGAGGACGTCCTGGAGAAGAAACTGGAACACATGGGAATTAAGAGGGACACAAAGGGAATCACAGCTCAGACTCTCCAGTCTCTGGAGGCCTTACTGAGAACCCTGAGTGTTTAGTGCAGAAAGCAGATTGGCTGCTCTCTCCACTTTTTTTCTAATAAAAATATTTTATTATTTTTATTTTATGTGTATGGGTGTATTATCTGCATTTATGTGAGTGCACTCGTGTCATACAGTGCCCACAGAGGTCAGAAGAGTGCATCAAATCCCCTAGAGTTGGATCTACAGATGGTTGTTAGCTACCATGTGGATGCTGGGAAGTGAACCTGGGTTCTTGGCAAGAGCAGTCCGCTCTTAACTGCTAAGCCAACTCTCCAGCCCCCTCTGTATCTGGACACATGAAGCCAGACTGGAAGGAATTAAGGACATGAGATAAATATGTCTTAAGCACCTTGTACGTGCCAGGTGTGTTGTTTGAAGGTACTAACGTGATCTGCTGGTTCACCACTGGGGAAAGTTAACTTGCCCAGAGTCACAAGGCCAGCAGGAGCCAGAGCCAGGGCCTGGAGGACTTCTGATTGAAGTCCTGCCCCTTTTGCCTGGCGCACTGCTTCTCACCTAGAGGGGAATGGAGGAGGTCTTGCTATACTGACATTAATATTGTATTTGTTGTCCAATTCTGTGTTTGAGGGCGCTGTAGACACATTTTGAGGGACCTAGCATCATAAGGCCCTCAGGTGGGAGGAACCAAATCCTCAAAGTCTAGAGAGGAGGAGATTGAGATGACTAGGTCCTTGTGGTCATAGTGGACCCTGAGGTCAGAAGCATGCCTTGGAAACTTGTTAGAAATGCAGATTTGCAAATCGTCTGGCAACATCCCAGATAAATGGAAGGCAGGACCCAGAAGTTTATTTTCATACACTTTCCAGTGTGTCCTGATTCTTTCATAAGAACCACTGAAAAATTGGTGGCTTCCCTCGACTGGGAGTGCATTAGCAATCACTCAGGATGCTTGTAACTGTCTGGAAGACCACTGCACAGCCCACAGACCCTGTAGAGGTGGGCATCTAAAGCTTTCCAGGCAATTCCAACATGTAGCCATGGTCCAGGTGCATGCCTCAATGTAAATTTATTAAGAATCACATGGGGAGGGCTAGGTGAGGTGAGAGACAGGGCTTGTCCTAACACACATTGCAGGGCCCTGCCTGCAGAATTGTTGGTACTGTAGGTTTGAATGGAAACCCAGAATTTGCATTTCTCACAGGTTCCTGGGTGATGCTGTTTGTTAGCATGTCCACAGAGTTTAAAAATAAAAATTAAGGTTTGCGACCTAGAGATTCTGATGTAATTGGCTTGGGTGGTTTTAATGTGTAGCCAGGGTTGAGAGTTACTATGTCTGTCTATAAGCTCTGTGGAGGAGGAGAGCGGAGTTTCTCTGTGTCCTTAGCATCCAGCACGTCCTGTCCACACTTGTACTATTGTTGTAGAGTGCTGTTGTCCAGGTATGATATGACCCTTCCTCTTGAAAGCTCCATAGCTGTGATTATCCATATGAGACTTGCTCCAGATTGGGCTTATTATTCAGTCATGGAAGAGGGAGGGGTCATGAGGCCCTGTGCCTCCCCAAAGATGTATAAGTGGTTAGTAGTAGCTGAAAGGAGAGAGACTCTTCTTTGATGGTATAGCTGTCCGTGCTCATATATACAACCCTGGTTAGACTCACTGGTTCACCAAGCTAGACTTGGGTGGGATTGTTTCTTTGGTGCTGTGTCTAGGATGGGTAGACATTCGTTCATCTCGCCCTAGGAAAATTAATACAATAACTACTTGCTCAGTAAATGGTGATTCAAAGGGCTTGGCTCACGGGCCCCTATGGGCACTGAAACACTCCTGAGAGACCTCCCGACTCACCCTGGACTGACCCTTTGTAGCAGTTAGCACCCTGTTAATCCCTTGTTTCCCTAGCCTATGGATCAGTATTTCTAAGTGTGGTGTGTAGCTCACCTCCATCAGCATCATCTGGACACAGGAAAAATGAGGATTTTAGGGCCCTTCCCAGACCTGTGGGTGGAGTCAGACTTGGGACAGGGGCAGGGATGTGCATTTTTAGCTTAGGCTGTCCTGATACAAACCTCAGCAGGAGGGAGCACATTGACCTAGAAACGATACCGGAAGGGACTATCTTGTTTACACTTTTAATCTCCCAGATCAGAACAGAACCAGGTATAGCAATGGGAGGGGTATCAGGTGGAGGCTAGGATGAGGTTGGAGCTGACCTGGAGTCTGGGACCAGAGTGGAGCTCAGGGACCAAGTTGCTTGCAGGGCTCAAGTCCAGATCCAAAAGCCATGAATTGACCTGTTGTAGGGCTGACTGAGCCCAGCCCTGGGAGGGCCAGACTGGCAGGGGATGAGCGCACAGAAGGTGGGTGGAGAGGCTAAGATTGTGATATCCAGGAGGAGAGATGCCTTACCTTCTGGACACTTGGGACTGGTCTGCCTTCAAGCTCACTCTGGAGAGTGGGATCATTGGCAGGTACAGTGGCTCTCCGGGCCTGGAGGTCAGGATGCACTGACTTTGGTTATTGTCTTCTGCTACAGAGCCAGAGGACGCCCATGATGAGCAGTGGAGGGTGCTGGCATCTCTGAGGCAAAATAGTACCTGGCTGAAGCAGTTCCGGCCCTCTCTGGAGGACGTCCTGGAGAAGAAACTGGAACACATGGGAATTAAGAGGGTGGGTTCCAGGGCCACTGTTGATTAATTCATTTAGTTTCATTTTTCAGACAGGGTCTTGCTATGTGGCTCAGGCTGGCCACAAACTCAAGGTAGTCCTCCTGCCTTTGTCTATGGAGTGCTGGGATTACAGGTGTATGCCAACACACCAGTCTAAAGGCTACTATTTTAAGGGCTGAAACCTATGATGAAGAAAAATGGTCTCATTCAGAGAAGCGATGGATTGCCTTCTATTCTGCAGACGTATTTCCTGCATTTGCTTCTTCCTGTGCTCCTCTGGTATCTGGGTAGGGAACCTCCCAGCAGCAGTGTGAGCTCTCTGTTTCCTCCAAGTTTTCCATGATTGGCCTCTCTTGGCTGACGATGCTATGCTTGGTCCTGACATACTCAGTGTTCTCCACCCATTGTGTCTCTAACCAGATTTTCTGACAGAGGGAATTTAACTGGCTTAGTCTGGCCTGTGGACTAGACTCCCTTGGATAAATGTCCATCTCTGACTTCACTGACTGTGGAACATGTAGTTGTTCCCAGATACATGTAGCTAGACATATGACTGTTAAGGGCATCAATGAAGTCTATTAGTAAATAAACATACATCTTGTTATTGAAGTCACCAAGCACCACATCATTGAACATGCTGTTTCGTCTTCAATGAGTAAGATTAGGAGAAAAAACGTCAAATCTCAGACAGCTGGGGTTATAAAGATGAGTTATAAAGATAGGGTTATAAAGATGTCCTTGGGGGCTGGACTGTCTTCAGCTTCTGCTTAATCAAATCTAAATTCTTTTGACTTACATGTTTTTATTTTATATGTATGAGTGTTTTGTCTGCAGGTATGTAAGTGTACCATGTATACAAAGCCCATGGAAGCCAGAAGAGGGTGTCAGATCCCCTGGAACTGGAGTTACAGATGATTGTTAGCTGTCACGTAGGTGGAGGGAACGGAACTCAGGTCCTCTGTAAGAGCAGCCAGTGCTCTTAACTAGCATAATCCAATCTTGGTCCTATGTCCAGACTTGGTTAAAATATTTCTAATTTTGATAAATCTTCATCTTTGATCTTGATGACTTCCAAGACATCATGCCCTTGGACTCAGGGTGAATGTCAAAAACCCAGGGAACTTCCAGTTACTGCCAATGCCAGTTACAAAATCCAGTTACTGGGTTTTGAAGTTTAATTTCCAAACACTGCTATCCAGGGGGAACATGATAGTGCTTGGAGGTACAAAATGAAGCAGTCTGTAGTTTCACTGTAGGATTCAGTTGGGTAGTGGCAGAGCACACCCCATTCAGGTCCCTTTCTGTTGTGATGTGGATGGAACTGTGATGCAGCCGTTTGCCTGATCCTGCTCTGCGTGCTGTGATGGGGCTGCTACACCCTGACCATCAGTGTGTGCAGCTCACCCTCTCTGATCTTATTTCATCCTCACTAACACATCAGACACCAATCACAGTGGCTCCCTTTCCCGCTGCTACAGCTGTGAGAAAAGAGAAGGGGAGCCTGTGTGTGCCACCGTGAACTTCTGCTTCCTCTAGGACACAAAGGGAATCACAGCTCAGATTCTCCAGTCTCTGGAGGCCTTACTGAGAACCCAGCGGCAGCAGACTGCCCGGCGCTTTTCTGAATTTTTGAGTCTGAGGGAAAAGCTCAACCGGGAAGCCACCAGCAGAGTGAAGAAGAGATGGGAAGGAGGGAGTGCAGTGTTTCGGCCACGTGGCCAGCCTCCAGGTAAGCTGGGACAGGAGGAGACCATGACCTGAGGAGAGGATTCCCCTCTTGTGAATGTTCATCTCCCCAGGAGGAGGGTGCAGCCCCTGCCTCCCATCAGGGCCACTTTTCTGCAGAACAGAGCTTGTCAGATCCTCAAGGGTGAATGAGCCCAAAAGTCCTCTGTTGGAGAAGCAGTCAGAGGTGGGGTTGGATTGGGGCACTTGTGATTTTTGGTAGAGAATCAAAGAATGTGGTCAAGTACTGTCAGGTCTCTGTCCTCAAAGATCTTACAGAGTAAGGGAATTTTCCTCCTAGGTTCAAGTGGCCCCATTTCTAGAAGATTCCCAGGTCCATTCTTCTGGGGAGAGATTTGGGGATCTGCGCCTGCTCGTGTGTGGTGCTTAGGTCCCTTCATGTCATTTCCTCCACCATAGACATGCGTGGCCAGGCCAATCCTGGCTCTCCTATCTGGCAGCCCTGAGCTGAGCTCTTTATGCAAAGAAATATTGCAAATGTGGGAATATGAGAGATGATTTTAGTTCATATACGAACCAAATCATTTAAAAAAATTTAAAATTTGTCTTCATTTGAATTAGGAAATCGTGTGAGATAATAGAATTATTCCTTGTATAAATGTAAAGCAGGTGTTTTATGTTTAAAAGTGCAGTCGCTGTATGTAAAATGTTACATAGACAATAGGACAGGTAGTATGACACTGTGGTAAAAAATGTGATTATCTGGGAAACCCCCATTCCATTTCTGTCAAACTTCTGACTATAAAATCTCTAAAGGAAGGACAGTTTTTGGATGCATGGACGTCTCTGACAGAAAGGTTGGGAACCTGCCCTTCCTGCTTGGGTTAGAGCTTGTATTCCTTTGCTCGTTTTCCCAAGTGTCCCTACATTTAGTTTAGTATTTGTTGTGGCTGAGTTTGTACCAGGACCTACCCTGCCACCTGAGAAAGCAGTCAGGACCAGGTGGTGTGAGGGAGCCAGACACAGGAATGCTTGAAGCTTAGGAGCAAAGGCAGGGACTTGTGAGGATGAATGGAAATATCCCAAGACTTCTGGCTTTCAGGGGAAGGGAAGGGCATTTTGATTCTTCTGGATGCCACTCTTCCATTGCTGTCGTCGGAAAGCCAGGGATCACTGGGCTGGAGAGATGACTCAGTGGTTAAGAGCACTTGTTGCTCTTGCAGAGGACTGGGGTTCAGATCCAGCGCTCACATGGCAGCTAACAACTGTCCATAACTCCAGTTCTAGGGGATCCAACCTCTTCTGGCCTCCACAGGCATTGAATGCATGGGTGCACTTACATACAAGCAATATACACATACACGCGCGCGCGCACACGCACACGCACACACATACACACATGCACGCGCCAGGGGTGAGAGCCTCCTCTTGCTCCTTTGCCCCTTCCCTAGCTTTGGGATTCAGTTATTAGCATGACGTGAAGCATCTGTTTTCATAGCACTTTGTAGCCCTTTCCTTCCAGCTCTGAACTGACTTGTCCTCACACATCCCACAAATGCTGTCCAGTGCTCACCTCTGCTTAGACCATGCCTCTTCTCTTGCTTGGGAGCTTCTCGTGGGATGCAGTGAGGGCAGTGGCAGATGGAGGACCAGGTTTGCACCTGTCACTTTCTTCATAGTATTGTGGGCAAGTCTCTTCATTGCTCAAAGCCTCTGTAAAGCAGGAGACTGATACTGTCTGAAGATGTTCGGGGCCCACATGGATGTGTACAAAGTGCTTTGCTTAGTGCCTGGTGCATATTCATTGTAAGCTGTTGTTATTTCCTCTCTGCAAGTTTGTTTTTACCTTTCTCCTCTCTTTACTCTTCCCCACTTCTTTTAAAAATATTTTATTTATTATTATTATGATTATTTTTATTTTATGTATATGCGTGTAGTGCCTGCATGTAGGTAAGTGTACCTGTGTTGTGCAATGCCCGTGGAGGACAGAAGAGGCTGTCGGATCCCCTGGAACTGGAGTTACGGACAGTTGTTAGCTTCTGTGTGGGTGCTGGGATTTGAACCTGGGTCTTCTGCAAGAACAGTCAGTGTTCTTAACCGCTGAGACATCTCTCCAGCCCCTCTTTCCCACTTCTAAATAAACAAATTCCCTAATTGCAGCGTATTTCAAATATTTTTTACCTTGAGCTACTGTAGTTAGAAACACTGTCAACACTGACTCAATGCATACATTTGGGTTTCATGGAAAGCACTTACACCGACTCCCTGTGATGCACTTTCTCTCCGTAAATGAACGTTGCTGGGCCCTCTGTCTCCTGATGAGTCTTATGCGATTTGGAAAACAGAGAACAGTATCTAATTGCCTGCCTTGGGTGCAGCAGCCTTGGTTGGAAATGTGAGGGTGCGTGTGACTCTTGTTAGTCATATAGTCCTGTGGTGACCTCTGGTGGCAGCAAGGCCTTCCTGCAAGGCCACCTGTACCCAAGTAACAGCATTGTGGGTGAGGAGAGCCTCAAAGCCCACCTCTAGCACTTTCCAGGGTCCTCAGAACTCTGACATCTTTGGTTTTTATAATGAAAGCATGACTCTGGGATACCTGGTACTCTCCCAGTCTGATGAGGCTGGAGCTCTGTCCTAGTAGAGGAGCTCGTGTGGGACAACAGCCAAATCTGCTATGGTTATTATAATGTTCTGAGACAGTGTGGCTTGATCGTCTCTGGGGCCGGACTCTCTTATAGGGACTCAGGCTTGCAGTCCCAGCATGCACATGTTCTGATAATCATTCTTTTCTGTGTTTCTAGTCAAAAGCCAGCAGAGCACACTGGCCACAGGGGAGGCCCTGCCAAGGACCAGGACTCGGAGTGTGGTGCTGCCATCCAAGCCAACAGGGCCTTCTACATCAACTCTTCAGAGCCACAGCAGCCATGTCCCTGGCTTGACCCAGGTGTCTACTCCCATTCCACGCCCCAGAGTGCATGGACCCTCCAGCACCCCTGTTTCCCCCGGGCCTGGACTGAGGTGAGCTCTGGACTTTGATCTGAAGGAGTAGCCCCTGACCCTAGGGAAAATGCTTCTGAGTTTCTTTAGAGCTCTATATACAAGGGCAGGACACAGTCAGACATGAACATAGATAGGAGGTGCCTGAGGTAGGGTCGAACCTGAGCTTCTGAGAGAAGACTGGGGACCTACCTCCGCCCATCTCTATCTCTTCAACCCATTGCTACAGTGGAAGGGTAGGGCCTCAGTGGCTCCTGGCTGAGCTCTGCATCTGAGGGAGGGAGCTGGGCTGACTCTAGATAAAGGAACAAACCAGTGTTTCCCTCATTCTTCTTCCAGCAGCAGCACTCCTCCTTTCAGTTCTGAAGAGGACCCAGAGGGAGACGTTGT